ATTTAACCCTCCGAGGTCATCTTTGGCAATCACAAGTACCTGAAACACTGTTTTTAGGCCTTGCTATCTGAATGTAAATTTTGGTTTTGCACATTGTGATTAGCTTGGTACAAAGAGAGGCTCCAAACCAACACACATTCTAAAAAGCATACAGGCTCTGTTTCCCAGACAAGGATGAAGTCTGGTCTCAAAGTAAAACTTTACAGAGCAATTATTCTTGGAATTGTTCCATTCGTTTAGGATCAGGATTAATTAATGTCTGGAAAAGTGGTGGGTGGGTTAGACCTCACGGGGTTATCCAGGATATTCAGAATATATTTTACAGGAGTGTTCTTAGCGCGTCAAGATCCACATAACCATTGGCCCTGCACAGGCTGCGTATATTTTCCTATTGGCTGTGCGCTAACCTTCCTCCCTCAGACAGATGCATGTCGAGGCTAAAGGGCTGTCTGCAAACACTGAGGAGTCCACCTGCAGATAAACTAAAACACAAAAGAAGGAATAAAACATTTACCATCAACTTAAAGAGCTCGGAATTTTTTTTTAGTTTGATGCACTGTACAGACAGTCTGATTTAAACTTGTCATTTAACATGTAAAAAAAGAAATGCCACTAATATGCAATTCAACTTCAGATTGAAAGTAGTAAAGAGGAAATTGTGTTTCTTCTTTAGGTGACTGTTTAGCTGCAAACTGATTGGCACTGATTTTGTTTTCATGGGTTATAAAATGACGCCTCTTATACCATCGCTGTGGTCTTTTGCGTTTAGATTGTGCTTCTTATTAGTATATGTACTAACATTTCTTTAAAAAAAAAAACGAGTTTCTTTGCTAAGTGCTTAAAATTTAAACAAGAAATGACAAAACCAGAGTTAGTGGGGCAATATTCTAGTTTAAATGGTACAAAGATTTCTGGATCCAGATAACATCTTTTATCAATAAATTAAAATACTATATAAGTTCATAAGTTTACAGAGCACAACGTAAGATCTATACATCTGTGCGTTTACGACTGCTTCTGAAAAGTTGCAAAGAGATGATAAATTAAATTTTTTTTAATGCAAACACTTAATTTGGTGTTGTGTATTTGGTCAGTTTACTAATGTATTTATTGGCTAATTATTTCTACAGACAGAGTTGGTGTTGTCACCATCAATTAGGTATTTTTGACTTGTATACTGAACTGTGATCTATATGAGCCAGCAGTGCCTTAAGACTCATTATTCATGGCTTAGTATTTTGTTTCATAGCAGAGTAAAAACAACCATCTGAATGTCTCTTTTCTAATGCAGTAAAATCACATGGTTGTCTTTAGATGTTATTTTTAAATCACAAAATTGTAGATCGATAACTTTCATCTGTGTAAAACTTCAAATTTATCCACATTTCATTTGTACCATGGTTTTTATTAAACAGCAGATTTTATGAAAATGTGTTTGTCCCGCTCTTTGGACCTTCCTTGCTTTTTTTTGTCTTTTTAAACTTGGAAAAAATACATATCTGCAAATAATTTCGCATCAGATCTTTATGATTATGCATACAAATTATTGTCATTTCACTGCATTTCACTGCAACAGTAGTTCATTATATCTTACATTTTATCACAGATGGCAAAAGTACAGACTTCCTTTACTTTAGTACCTGTGTTTAAAAATACTCCAGTAACAGCTGAAATACTGTAGCAGCTGTTTTTCTCAAGTAAAAGTGAAATACAGGCTCTGAAATGTACTCGCAGTAAGAAAGAAAAAAGTACTTCCTTGAAGGACAATTCTGCTAACCATTCTTGTAAACAGATAACTGAACCGTGCACTGTATTAATATAATATAAAACAATATTAGTACATGAGGACACAAATGCTACTCCAATCTAAATTATAATTCTCATGAAAGCTTGAATCTGTTATGTAGGACACATAAAGTGAAAGAGGGTTTTAAAAAATAACAACTTTCTGTTCCTTACATTGTAGATGGTGAATTCACCTCCACACCTAAACAGGAAAATTAGTACAATCGGGAGTTACAGTGGGATTTAGCAAACTGTTTAGTTGCTCAGCACACGGAAAACAATCACAACTCACAGTAATATTCTAATGTGAGCTTCGGTAGATTTTCTTAGTGTACATGCAGTGATCAGCTGACCTGCTGCCTTGACTGATGTCCATCCCTTACACTGTTTACACTATCTTTATGCTAGACAGTATACAGTTGGTATAGAGATGAAATTTAGTTAATTAATCCAAGCATCGTCAACCTAAATGCAAATTGCTACACTTGATGTAACCTAAATCTAAATGAAACCATGAGCACCACAACCACCTTGCATCAGTCCAACACAGTGCTTTACTGTGAATTCGCCACAGTACTGCAAACTAACCTGTTTATTTTGGACAAAACTACCCAGTATTTGAATAAACCAAGTTTGTATAGCTTTGTTTATTTTGCTGGAGATTTCACAAAATGAAAATACATAATTTATCATAACACATATAAAATCCAATAAGTAATTAAAATTATGACATTACATGTAAAATTTAAATCTGCAGTTTATCTTGTGTCACTGATAAAATTAGAAAGTTATCAGAAAAATAAAAACTAAGGTAAAGTACAGATACCTAAAAGTTCTACTTTTATAGACAAAATTCTTTGGCTCTCGGAGGAGGCGGACGCACTTTTTCTCCTCTCCCTTATCTTCCCTGCTTATGTCCTTGTCTAGTCTTGTGGGGTTTTTTTTTTTGTATTTTCCCTGGAACATTCTCTCACAGTCTGTTCTCTAAAACCTAAAAGAGGAATTATGGATTGGATGAACTGGTCCCTAAATGCAATTGACACCCCTTTCTCAACGAGAAGTTTGGGCTTGGGTGAGCCTGAGTGCTGAAGATATCTACCTATTCGGAACCATGGTAACAGGGTTCTGGCGGATCGGAGCTGGCTTGGCCCTGACTTATCGAAGAATTAAGAAAGTGGAACCGGCTGTTCAAACCCCCACAAGGCTGCCCGCCAGGATTGGAACGATGGGAGAGGCGTGAGTTTCTCAAAATGGGCTCATTGAGTCAGCACGGATAGGATCTTGGAGAGGCTACGGCTGCTGTGAATACTCAGAATAAGATCTCTGACTGCAGACTGGATACATCTCGGAAGGGCTAGCCCGGAATAACATCTCTGGGCGCAAAATTGGATGACATCTCGGGGAGGCACACTGTCGTGAGTTCTCAGAAATCGGCTCCTTGAGCACAAGAAATGACAACATCACAGAACGCAAGTATGGCGAAGCTCGCGGCTCTCCAACGGGAGATTGAGAGACCAGTGTTGGACTGTAGAACTGCTTTGAAATTCATATGAGCTGTTCGCACTAAAGTAAAAAAAATAACATCACTTCATGCGGATACCCTCTCGGCGCCAGCTACAAGGTCGGAGCTGAATAAAACACCCTGATAACGACTGTGTTTAGTCTGTTCCTTCCCATTCCATGCAAGGCCACCTGGGTTGGCTGGAAGACTGTTTACTTAGCCTGGCAGGGCGAAGGACACTGTCTCAGCTGAACTATGGACACGCACACACATACATATACTGATACTGATAAACACTCACCGACGCATCACCCTCCCTACCCCGGATCCAACGCCACCTCCAACGCTTACCTCCCCTCTGATGTGGACATCGGGTCAGCTGGAGGCGCAGTCGAAAGATTGCAGCGATCCCAGATCAGATGTCCACACTGGAACTCTTTCCCATGTTGCTTGTCTGTGTTTATTGTGCTATAGTTTGTTGATATCTGTGCATTCCTGTATTATCCTTTTGTGTTACACATTTTGATGTTTTTTTTTCCTCGCTACCTAGCCTGACCTGTCTCCCCAATGATGTTTGTGTATTGTATGTACGGCCGGCAAGGTCTGTCATCTCGGTTGTGGGCAAAAGACCTGCAACTGACAAATAAAGGCTATCTCATCTCATCATCTCATCTCATATGATGCCACTTCACACTGACTCAAGTCTCAAGTTAGTTTTTTTTTTTGAAGTTGAAGATGCTACAAAATTAAAGAGTCTTGAAAGTGCGTTGTTAGCTGTTTGCTCAAACTCTCAATATGATTGCACTGGCAAGCACAGCAACATGAAAAGGCCTGAGGACAACTGCAGAAGATGATCACATAATTTTTTCCATGGTTAAGAAAAACAAACTTCACAATCTATAAATACCTTCATGAATGTAAAGGAGGGTTTACATCAAGGCGCAAACCACTGGTTACACTCAAGAAGAAGAAGGCCGGAAATGTAAAAGAGATTGCGCAGTTGCGGAAAAGCAGTTACAGACTTCTGACAGTCACTGACAACAAGAGCTGTTTCAAAAGCAGCCCATGTTCAAGGCATTGGTTTGTCTAATTATATTTTGAGCTTGTGAAATGGGGGTCTTTGTATAAAAATCTATGTAATTTCTACACAAAGACATTTTTTTCATTAACTTGATTGAGTTAAATTCGAAAATCTGGACTTCAATCACATACTGATTGAAAAAAGTCTTTGTCCAACAAATCATGGCTGTGTACAAGATTCATATCGTGGATGTGCAGCTGACAAATCTGCACCAACTGAGTAATCATCGTGATCATGATACATTATATGAACTCATGTTGGTGGATAGAGGCTAAAGTAATCCACGGAAGATGATGCTGTCTCTTTAACTGATATCTTCAATACTATAAACAAATTTAAAGTGATGTAGCACCTCTGACGTATGAGCGCGCTCCACGTGTTTCCTGACTTACGTTACTAAAAAGAGGAAGCAGAAGATCTTTTTCAACTGAGGGGAAACTTCAAACTCTGTAAAAAAAATTCAATATTATTCACCAGAAGACAAAACCCACAGAAGGAGAAGAGATTTGGGATTACTTCACCTCATTTACGTAAGTTTTTAGAGCCCTAAAAATGTGGAAGTACCTTCTATAGATTAGTACGTTTCTAACTTCCTGTTTGTGTGGTTTGTTAACAGCGTCAGTCACAGATAAAATGTCGTCTGGAATCCAAGAAGAGCTGTCCTGCCCCGTTTGTCGAGACATATTCAGAGACCCTGTTGTTCTGTCGTGCAGCCACAGCTTTTGTAGAAACTGCCTGAAAAGATGGTGGAGAAAGAAAGAAATACGCCAGTGTCCTGTTTGTAAGAGTGCATCTAGAAAGAAAAACCCACCCTGTAACTTGGTGTTAAAGAACCTGTGTGAGAACTTCTTACTGGAGACAAATCAGAGTGCTTCAGCAGAGTCCGAGTCGCTCTGCGGTCTGCACTCGGAGAAACTCAAACTCTTCTGTCTGGACCATCAGGAGCCAGCGTGTCTCATCTGCAGAGACTCAAAAACTCACAGCAACCACAGATTTAGACCCATCGATGAGGCTGCGCAGGATCACAGAAAGGAGCTCCAGATCTCACTGAAACCCTTACAGGACAAACTGAAGGCCTTTGAACGAGTTAAAGGAAACTTTGTTCAAACAGCAGAACACATTAAGGTTCAGGCCTTTCACGCAAAGAGGCAGATCAAGGAGCAGTTTAAGAAGCTTCACCAGTTTCTGCAAGAGGAAGAGGAGGCCAGGATCACTGCTCTGAGAGAGGAAGAGGAGGAGAAGAGTGCGAGTATGAGTGAAATGATTGCAGCTCTGATCAGAGAGATAGAAAGTCTCTCAGAAACAATCAGAGCCACAGAGGAGGAGCTGAGAGCACGAGACATTGCTTTCCTGCAGAACTACAAGGCTGCAGTGATCAGAGTCCAGCAGTGCCCCCAACTTGATGATCCACAGCTGGTGTCAGGAGCTCTGATAGATGTGGCCAAACACCTGGGCAACCTGACCTACAACGTCTGGAACAAGATGAAGAAAATGGTCTCCTACTCTCCTGTGATCCTGGATCCAAACACAGCTGAATCACACCTCTGCATATCTGAAGATCTGACCAGTGTGAGCCTTGGAGAGAGGCAGCAGCTTCCTGACAATCCAGAGAGGTTTGATGGCTATCCGATCGTCCTGGGCTCAGAGTGTTTCGACTCAGGGACTCACAGCTGGGATGTTGAAGTTGGAGACAGTCCAAACTGGCTAGTTGGTGTGGCTGAAGAATCAACTAAAAGAAAGGGACAAACAGACTTTAAGTGTCGATTGTGGGCTGTGTGGTTCAGTAAGGGTAGTTATTTCATGCGTTCCCCACTAGATTCGTCCTCCTTTCATCCAACGAAAAAGCTCCAGAGGATCCGAGTTTGCCTGGACTGGAAAAGCGGGAAGCTGTCATTCTCTGATCCTGACATCAACATTCACACCTTCACACACACTTTCACTCAGAAACTTTTTCCATTTGTTTACACCAAGAACGAACTGCCATTGAAGATATTACCACGAGTGTCTCATGACAGTGCAGACTCTGATAGTGAAGGAGATCACGATCAAGGTGGTGAAACAGTTAATGGCATTCTCGATGACGACGATGATGTTATTCATGATGTTGATGATGATTACTGACACTATAGCCACATACCAATGTTTTCCCTTCAAGTGTAAAAAAACCCTAAAACCTATAAAATACTAGGTTGGTTGCAAACTGCAAAAATGGCACAAAGCAGTTCTTTCCTGCTAATTAAAGCTGATAAACAACAAACTAAAAAGAAATACTATCTCAACAAAATTGGACCATAAAATCCATAAAACAAATGATATTTTGTTCTGCACTGAAAATGATCTGATAGCTAATTCTATTAAAATGCTAAAAAGGCACTAAGAGCACAGAGTAGTTAGGTCCAGTTCAATTAGTCAAGCACAGAGGGATTGGCTGCAGCTGTCAGTGAAAGTGGCCACAGCGATAAAGAAAGGTAAGTACAACAGAATAAAAAAGAACACAGGATTACACAGTTTGCAGTAATTCTCATCGACCACTAGGTAGAGACAAACACAAAGTGAACTTAAAGAGTGCACAGATATGAACACGGATAAATCAGTGGATATTTGACCCAAAGGAACACTGAAGCCCTTTGATGAAGCAGGTTTGACTCAGTGTAAACAATTCAGTATTGTACATTTGGCCTCAGAGTTTTTGAAGATGTAAATGTTTCAAATGTCAAAAAAGGATCTTTTTAGCTTTTAAGGTAAAAACCCCAAATTCATCATTTAGTTGAAATGTGTGAAATAAATCCATACAGACTTTCAAAGTACAAAGTAATATTGTCTGATAATGTTACATTTGGGGCTGCAATCAGAGGCGGAGGCAGACATTTGATACACCCGGGGCTTAGCCCTAAGGATAGTATGCATGTGG